ATAAAGGGAAGAGGAGGAACACTGGCATGTTTTACCTCCAGCTATTATTCAAACTGAATAGAATTATTTTCCAATAAAATTGTTAGGATGAATTGCCAATTTCTACTTTTCTAGGAAACCACTTTTACTGAAAACCTTGATCCCAACCTATCATAAAAAATGGGATTTTACTCAACAAATTACTTCTAACATCACATTTTGTACATAATAGCTGCAAATGTCTAAAATTTTAAGGAACCATTATAATTTAGAACAATTTTAGGCCAAACGTGGTCTTTGTAGAGGATCCAGATGCAAGAAAATAAACCAAATGAGCCATTTAATTTGTGGTTTGGATGTCATTTTTCTAACAGTTATCAATGAAACTGTCATGTAGCCCTGGAATTTGGGGCTGTTAGAATTATTTATTTTGGATGTCACTCTTTCACATCTGATATTTTAACAAAGAATTATGTTCACGTGCATGTGGGTATCTTCACATGACATTATTACTTGCACATGAATTAGTTCTGATTCTCTCTACAACCTGATGTGCATACCCATATCATCATATAGATATTTACAAATACTTGTGTACAGAATTTTTAAAATTTTATTTTATTATGTTGTGTTAGTCACCATACATTACATCATTAGTTTTTGATGTGGTGTTCCATGATTCATTGTTGCGTATAACACCCAGTGCTCCATGCAGAACGTGCCCTCTTTAATACCCATCACCAAGCTAACCCATCCCCCACCCCCCTCCCCTCTAGAACCCTCAGTTTGTTTCTCAGAGTCGATCGTCTCTCATGGTTCATCTCCCCCTCCGATTTGCCCCCCTTCATTTTTCCCTTCCTACTGTCTTCTTTTTTTTAACATATAATGTATTATTTGTTTCAGAGGTACAGGTCTGTGATTGCGTACAGATTTTTTCTTGATCTCTTTCTTACTTGACTAAGAATATTCAGGATGTCCCCAGATGCTCATTTGAAGGTTGATTTAGTCACAGTGGCAGAACCCCAGGCTCAAATGTCAAATGGGATCAGTTCTATACAGTGCACTAATCGGCTGCAATCTTTTTGCTCCAGAAGTTACAGTTGCATGTTACTCATCAAGGCAAAATGTAAATGTTTAGTGATTATACGATATGTTTTTGTTAACTCCCCAGATGGGATTTTTTTTTTACCTTTGTTTATCTGAGAACAACAACCGAATGCTGATGAAATGCTGTGGCTGATGCCAGCAATCTAAGGCTTCATTAGTACAGATGAAGCAATGCTCACTTTGTTACACAAATAATTAGAGAGATTAAATGAAAATAAACACTGAGAGGATGTACAGAAGCTCTGAAGTTAGGTAATTATTTTAATTACTCTAGTGACTTCCACCAACCTTCACTATCAGCCACAGATCAAGTTTAAATTGTTCTATATAAAAATATCATAGACTATATGGAAAAGTACTATAGCTACTCAGTGATTATGCTTCATAAAAATGGCATTTTCTTTAAGCTTCCACTAAAAGGAGTTTTTTCCATTCTGGTGCCTGATAAACTCTAAATATCTTAAAAGCATGATACATTTTTGCACTTTAAAGTGTTTTACCCTGGTTCTTGTTTCAAATGGACATTCTTAATAATTTTGTATCTTTATCTTGACTCGTATTTGATCATGAAAGATGTGGGTTCACATTTTTGAGTCACTGAATGTAAAACAATATGGCATATTCAGTCATTTGAAATAAATGTCACTTGGAATCATGTCATCCTTACTGTATGACAAGCTGCACCTTGTATTTGGGGTAAATATTTCTTTATTCCCCTCCCTACCTCAAATGGGGGAAGACTACCACACACTGACACCTTCCTGACAGGAGGGGGCCCTTTTTAGAGGCATCATCAGTCCTGTTTAGAATGGATCTCATTTTTATTCCTGTGCGACAATGATTCTGCCAATCTCCTGGGTTAAGATCTTTTGAACAAGTGTTACCTGCATTTATATACCATTCATTGCTTGCATAATGCCAGCTCCTCTGCAAAATACTTTACCAAATTTATCCTATTTAGTCCTTATAAGATTTCCATGGAGTATGTATTATTAACTCCATTTTCCAGGTGAGGAAACCGAGAAGCTCACCTGACTTTCTAAAGTTGCTCAAGTGGCCCAGCTGGGAATCAAACCAAGGTCAGTGTGACTTCAAGAACCACGATGCCCCCAACAGATGATTGAATGAGGTAAACCTGGATGCAAATGCTGACGAAAGATAATAGAAATGATGAGGTGACCTCAAGGTGAATGTGCTAGTTAAGTATTGTGTTATAGGACACCTGTGAATTCTGAACACCAGTTAAAATCTCCAATTTCAAAATTTTGAAAGTGTCTCATCTGTGAATGTCCCTGGTTGCTGGAGAAGAAGCAATTAGGAATGGATTTTTATGGAATAGTAAGTATAACCAAGAATTCCCAACTAACAAAGATTAGTGAAGTTTCTTAATACAATTCAGTAACCACTTGAGCTTCACTCCAGCTAACAAACTCGGCATTTCTCTTCAACTACATTAAAAATTTCAGCAGGATGAATGAGACCAGTAATCTTTGCAAAGGTCGCCAGGTGTGCCTGTTGTTTTCTAGTATTTCAGAAAAGCCTTTACTGGGTTCCCTCCCCCACCTAACTGCCCCAAGATACTGACATTGGTTTCAGGCGGTGCACCCCCAGGCCTGATCACGACACATTTTTCAGGAGGTTGTGTTATATTCAGAGGACCATTAGGGTAGCTGAGAGTCAGGGAAGGGTCTAATGGATTCACTGTTTCCTATGTTAGGATGCACTAATCTGCCAAGTTTATAGTATGAGTTGTGGCTGATACAGGGAGCTGGGACAGAACGCTAGTCCTTGCTTGCGGTGGGAGGGTGGGGAGGGAGTGCATGTTAACTTTATAAATTTCACCCTCAGGTTTCAGACTCCGAGCAGGAAGTTAGGGAAATTCACAAACGCTCCAACTCCCGGTGATAGAGCAGCAAGGGTAGGGCTTAAGAAATTGAGGACTCTCAAAAAAGGCTGGAAGGGTGGGGTGGGCTATCAGCTCCAGAGCTCTCCAGCGCGCCCTCACGCAGAATGCGCAATCGGAGGGATTTATTTGTGAGCGAGACTGAGGAAGACAAACAACCGAGAGAAGATGGGCTCAGAAATTATTTATCGTGGGCTGGCGTGGGGAAAGCCTTTCCTGCTGCTTTTGCAAGCACCTCCCTGGGACGTGACTATGAAACCTGGCCCCTCTTCTTTCCTCCCGGTACATTATAGACAGCCAGGGACTCAGCTAGAAGGTCCGCTCGATAGAGAAAGTCCTAAGCACCAGTTGTTTACTCGTAGTCTTCCAGGCACTGTCATGGTTCTATTATGTCTTCGTATGCTGTTTGATTTTGATTGCACCAGGTTTATACATCTCGGAGGGCCAACCCCTCCCGGTCGGGCTGTGTCGAAAGTGATTTCTTCAGGCCGCGCAGCGAGGAAGCCACGGGCTAGACTCCGGGGACCCACCTTCTATTTCCACTTGGCCACTCGCTACTGACCTCGGAGAAATCACTTTAAACGCTGAGCCTCAGCTTCCTCAGCCATAAAATGAAGGTGATTCTACTTTCCAGGCCTCTTTAAAAGGATCGTCGGGAGGGTCAAACAATAATTCTGATGGCAGCGAACTGTGAGGAAATGTGACTCCAAATTACTGAAGGAAAAATAAGTTAAACATCCTCAGCTGGAGTTTTAGGAATTTCCCCCCAATGATCTCACTGCAGGCAGGCAGCAACCGTTTGGATGGATTCTTTCTTACGGACCATCTTACATGCCAAACACCTACGTGTGGCACCCCTCCGTCTCCCAGGGCTTCTATTCATTTCTGCCTTTCAGTGAGAGCGCTTTTTGCTGCTGCTGTTGGGTACACACCCCAGCACACCAACCCTGCAGCTGGGGGCCAGAGAAGGGATCTTTTACCCTCCCCGCCTTTGTCCCCTCACTCCCCACCCTAGGTCTCCCGAGTTTTCCGCACGTGAATGGGGTTTCCTGGCTGATCTCTAAAGACCTTGCAGTATTTCAGAAAGCTACGAGTGCGCGGAGATCAGCGAACGAGCATCCAGCCCTTCCCGCAGGTCGTGCAGCTCCGCGAGGACCCTCCTCCCGCTCCTTCGGCGGTGCACAAGCCGCCTCCAGAGCCAGCTCTCGGGGCCGTCAGCGGCAGACCCCGCGGAGAGCCGGGGCCCCCCTCGCAGCCCCTCTCCGCCAGTAGCAGCGCTGCTGTCTTCCCACAGGAGGGAGGACTGGGAGGACGCCGGAGTCTGCAGCGCCCCCGCCCCCTCGCTTTTTCTTTCTTTCCTTGCTTTGGGATCTTGCTGCCGGAGCCGGGAGAGGGTCTGAGAAGACAAGCGAGAAGGACCGGAGTGCAGGCTTCCGCTGCGGCGCGCGAGCAGAGCTGGGGGCACAACATCTCCGGCGTCCCCTCCCGGTCCTCGCCCACCCAGCTGGGATGTGACCCAGGAAAGCCCTCAGCGCCTGCCTCCCGCCCTCGAAGGTGCCCCCCAGAGAGCTCACTGGGAGCACACCGCTGGAGTTCCTTTGGCCGCAGCGCCACGGGACGGGAGTGGCAAGGAGTCCTGGGGCCGGTTCCCAGCTCCCACTCTTCAGAGAGAGCGGCGGGGGATCACCGCTTTCCTGGCGCTCCGCGCAACTCCGGGGCCAGCAGCGCGCGGCTGGACAGAGTCCCGCTTCCCGCCGACTCACCGGGATTGGGGGACGGCGTCTGCCCGCCTGCACTCCCTGTAGCCCTAGTTTCTCGGCCCCTGCACCGATCTCCCACGCCAGGGGCCTGAGACCCGAGGCTCTCGGCCCCCGCAGCATCCTCAGACCCCATGGAGAACGCGCCCGCCGCGGCTTCCTGAGTGCGGGCGCCGCCGTCGTCCAAACTGCGCGCTGTGGTCCTCCATCTCGCCCCTCTTAGGGGCGTCCGAGAGGCCAGCGAAGAGCGCACCATGAAGTCCGTGCTGTTCAGCCGCTTCTTCATCCTCCTGCCCTGGATCCTAATCGTCATCATCATGCTCGACGTGGACACGCGCAGGCCCGCGCCCCCGCTCACCCCGCGCCCCTACTTTTCTCCCTACGTGGTGGGCCGCGGGGGCGCCCGACTCCCGCTCCGCAGGGGCGGCCCCGACAGCGGCCCCGGGCGCGGCTGGCAGAAGCGCAACGAGTCGCGGCCACAGCCACGGCCCGAGCCGCCTCTGCCCACCATCTATGCCATCACGCCCACCTACAGCCGCCCGGTGCAGAAAGCCGAGCTGACCCGCCTGGCCAACACGTTCCGCCAGGTGGCGCAGCTGCACTGGATCCTGGTGGAGGACGCGGCGGCGCGCAGCGAGCTGGTGAGCCGCTTCCTGGCGCGGGCCGGGCTGCCCAGCACGCACCTGCACGTGCCCACACCGCGGCGCTACAAGAGGCCGGGACTGCCTCGCGCCACCGAGCAGCGTAACGCCGGTCTCGCCTGGCTGCGCCAGAGGCACCAGCATCAGCGCGCGCAGCCCGGAGTGCTCTTCTTCGCCGACGACGACAACACCTACAGTCTGGAGCTGTTTCAAGAGGTAGCGGCCGGCCCGCCCCAGCTTGGGGGGGGGGGGGGCGCGCAGGAGGGGCCTCGGGGCCGGCGGGGCTGCGGCTGCACTTGTGAGTTCTTACTTTTCCGTACTCCCATTCGGGAGTACAGGTGGAGCGCTCCTCGCGGGCAGCCTGCAGCTTCCGCTGGCCCTGGCGTGTTTACGCTGGCCTTGGGGGTGGAGAGTGGACGAGAGGACCGCTGTGGCGCAAGGGAGGGAGTGTGTGACCAGGGGCTTCGCAGTCCACCTGGTCTTGAGACTGAGCGGAGGGAGTAGCACAGGTGAGGCGCGAGGGTATTTCCAGGAACGAGGCTCTGGCTGGCTTGAGGAGGGAGCCCAGATGGCAGAGAGAGTCGCTGGGGGAGGCACGCTGTCAGGAACAGGTCGCGGAGGGACCCAGCTCACTGGGCAGGCGGGCTTGGTGTATTCTCGAGTCTAGAACCATACAGGGAGGAAGGTGGAGATGCTGACTAAAAATCGTCCCGGAGACACATTTCTCTCTTACAGCCCGCTGGCACGGAAATGGTTAGAGTGAAAACAGTGACTTCTCCAGGGTGTGTGTGGGGTGGGGGGTCCAACCTCTTATCTCTTCCTGCACCCCACAAAAGCCCTTTCTGATTCTGAAGATTGCCTCTTTTTCAAGGAAAACCTCTGGTAAATGAGTTGAGACTGTTGTGCCCTGTGGTTGTTTTTCTGCAGCCCGAATCATGAGGAGGACAGCCCCGTTCTTTTTCTGAACCTTTCTCTAAGGCCTCTCTTGGGCAAGGCCACTCTTGCGCCTGCCCATTGCATCCTGGTGCTCCCTGTGAGGTCCTGGGGTGCTTCGCGGTCCCCTGCCGCCTAAATGGCTCTTTTCCCTTGGAAGGCCACTCATGCACAGAGCCAGCAGGGGGTTAGGAGAGGTTTTACTTCTTGAGGCTGGTATTTTGCAGTCTGTGTGTGTTCTGTGAATGAGTCGGGATTACATGGTTTTCACTTTCCTTATACACAAGGATACCTGGGGGGAAAAACAAAAACTTGGGATTCTTTGACACTTGGTGGGACTTGCTTTCCTCTATCCCAAATTCCTTGACCTCCTGCTGCTGAGACTCCATCACACCCCCCGCCCTGCCAGTGTGTGTGTCTAGTAAACATAAATGCCCCACAACTTCATCCTAATATCTGTTTGGCTTTCTTAACCTCAGGACAGAGTGACTTTGTACCCTTTCAGTTTAATTTTTCTGCCTATGTGGCTTTTAAGAATCCATTTTTTAAGGGCAGTTGCCTCCTTCATTTCTATTCATCCTCTCCTTCATGAATAAAAGGACCAGTAATCCCTTTCCATCCTTTCTTCAACTTTTTGCAGTGTAGGGCTTTCTTTCCATGTTCCTTCAGAAGAAATAAATAATATATAATAAGATAAGCTTGACATTGTAGGGGGTAGTCTTTATTATAACCAAGATCAGAGAGAGAATCTGATTTTTCTTTAAGTTGGGCTTCAATTTTGATCCTGCTTACATACTCTTTCCCCAAAAGATACGGTGGTTTGTATTCTGAAGCAAAGACCTTTACATTTCAATACACCATAATTTTAAACTTCAAAGTTTTTTTTAATTTTTTTTAATTTTTTACCCTTGGAAGTTGCCTCGGAACTTGGAAGTTGCCTTACTTGTAGAAATGTGTGGTCTTGGCATACATAATGCACATCTTATTAATAAACTTTTTAGGGGGATGGGCTGTGAAGGAGTGATTTTTCAGTTTATCTCCAGGTTCTAGCGCACTGGTGTGAGGGGTTAGTTGAGTGTGAGAGCTGGTGTTCCAGGCAGTGAAACAATGGAGCCCAGTCTTTCTTTGATGCTTCCCAAACTGAAAGGAAGGCTTGTTGGTGGGGGATATTAAAGCAGCAAGAGAAAAACCCAGTAGATTTTTTCATTGGTCCACTGGAAAAAGAGAAAGAATATAAAGGAGGAGAGGGTGAGGAGGAAAAATAGTAGTGGCCCAGAGGAAACTATAAAGGGAAAAAAATGCAAAACTTATTAAGACTAAAATTTTGTACAGTAAGAAGTAATGAAAAAAATCAAACTTAAGAGCATGTGCAACTCTTTTTTATGGAGAGGTGCCAAGTGGTACAAAATATAGGACAGAAGGACTGTTTAAAAAAACGTCATACACATGATACGCTGGGAATTGAAATTCTGTAGCTCCCAGAGGCCACTCCCGGACAGTAATTTCAAGACTAGTCCCTTTCTCCACCACCTCTCACCCTCCCCTACACACAGTGTTTTTGGACAGAGTGGGCATCTGTTCACCATGCGTATATGTTGATACATTCAGTTTTCCTTTTTTGCAACGCATCCTTTTCCCTGTAAGGCAAGTGATATTGAACTCTCTAAAAAGTCAGGTTAGCGGGATTTATGCATCCTTGGATTTGTGCGGTGATGGGGTGGTCTACCTTATATCCGTTCTAAGATTAATGATTCCATGTGGCTTATAGTCTAGACATTGCTTTCTTGGAGAACAGGTAGGACTAGATAAAACACCTACAAGCTGCAGCTCCTTGGGGGGAAAGGAAGATGCTGATAAAGGGTGATGTAGAGGCGAGGCGCATAGATCTCGGTCCTCCATGTTGTGCATACACACAAATTAGTTTTTAAGTAATTCACGGTACTTGAGAGAATGTCCCAAGTCAGGCTTCATCTTTTATTCATAGTGCTTCTAATTTCCATGGTTGATGTTAATGTAGGTAAGATAAAAGGAGGAAAATGAACCAGGTACAAATTAGCTCGCTAAGCATTGGCTGCAAATGAAGGAAACTAAAAGATGAAAGGTCTCCAAATTAAATTAAAGGCACAACAGGCAATCTGTGTTCAATTATTTCTCCCTGGTAACTGGAGAGCTGCTTTCTTCATACCGCTAACTGATGTTCAGCCTCCCTTCTCAACTGAGCTGTGCTGCCAGGAAAGAAATATTTGCATCGAAATAATGCTACCTTAGCAGCCGAATCCACTTGCAAAATGAAGCTGTGGGGGGAGTGGTAGCCACAGAAACTGGACTGTCCGTTGGAGGAGATGGACAGGGTTTTTCAGGTTTGCAGTATCCCAGCAGGTCCTTCTGTTCTCCCTGTGGCACGGAGGGGTTTTACACTACAGATCGCAGATAATCCTGCCTGCCCTAGCACCCTATCTGTCTAACCCCCCGGAAAAGCTTCTTTGTGAAGGATTTAAGCTACTTTAATACAAGCGACAACTGCAGATAAATGTGGCTCTCTATCTAGTTTGTATTTTCAATAACACTATTGATGAGACTTCTGTTCTTCGCTAGAAAACCTTCCAGTGTTTCCTGAGTTTAAAGCTGATGCTTTTCAGGTGAAGTTGCTTTCACCTTTGGAAATCAATTGAATCGAAAGGTTAAAAAACAGTCCTTTCCCAGCAAGAAGAAAAAACTTTAAAATTTTTTTAAATTTAATGAGCAAAGACTGGAAGACAGGCCAACCGTGAGACACTTAAGGGGGGTGGGTGAAAGGACTCAGTTAATGAGAAGGCATCTTGAAGATGCCTTTCTGGCAAGCGGTGAACTAAAGAGGCCCTTTGTTTCGATTTTTCTGTTGGGTGCAGTTAAGCTATTTGTGTGCTGAGCAGGTGGAGGAGTTGAGGTTTAATTTTCTGTCTCGTTCTTTTCCTGAAGCATCAGTGTGCTCCCCTCTTTATATGCAGCTTATTAGAGCCACAATCCAAAGGATATTCAAATTTACAATGTTTGGCACTTCCCCCCAAGTAGTAAATTCTGCCAGTGTTTCTTGAAAGAAGACCAGAGATCTACCTTTACTTGTACCTTTGTTACTGTTACTTAGTGTAGGGTAATTATCTTTTCGAAGTGAAGAAACCTAAAAGAATCTCTTAGGTGTAGCATAAAATGACTCTTTTATTACCTGAAATATGCCCTTTGTGTTTTATTTCTCCCCATCTAAAACCATATTAATAATCCTGTTGTAGGGCTGATAAAACGTGAGAATTTTCTAAAACTGCAGCCAATTTTCTTAGTCTGTCAGTGTTAAATCTCAAGATTTTCTGTATTCTCCCTGGGTGTATAGTACTTGAGTTAGGGCTAATTTTTGAGTTTTCTATGAAGACCAGTTTTCATTTGGATTTTGAGATTTTAATGGACCAGAAATAACAATTTGGGTTTAAAAGACATTCTCTCTTCTGCCTCCTCTTGTTGTCTTCTTCCATCATTCTTTGTCCTTCAACCTGCTTTTCACTGATTATCCTTTCTCATGAATAGACATGAAGACATGCCCAGATGATTGTTTGGTGCAATGAACGTGTGTCTTTTAAACATTTAGACTCTTGTCTCTTTCTTGGAATCTATAGTGGGTGACTCCATTTTCTTCTGTCTACTCCACTTGCCTCTAAATTACAAGCTGGTAAATTTTCTCTAGTGTGAACAGTAATGGAATAGTAATTGCTTTTAAGGCATGCTGCAAAAGCAAAATAGAAGAACCAAAGGCAATGGTCTTATTAACTATTCCAGGTGGTATTCAAGTAGTGCTTTTTTTTTTTTGATACAGAATTCAATAATGTTCAGATATGTCTATTCAAACGTTTTGAAGTCTGAGGAAATATTTGCTCAGTCTGTATAGTTAACACATTATATACTTGATTTGCAATGCTGTTGAAGCATGATATTTAAGTTTTGCATGGATCTCAAGTCCTCCCTCCAAAACACAAATAAAATTGTTACACCAGTCCGTAGGTAGGTAGGTAAATAGGTAGGTTTAGAACAGATTTCCAATTCACAGCAATAAATGAAGATAATCCATTGTTCATACCTGGTAGTTCTTGTGCATAATTTAAAATAAATGTTAAAATACTCTTTCCCATGGATACAGGCAGAATGCAGTTGACATCAGTTCAGCACTTCACTATGGGCCAGGAACCACCCTTAGGGTTTTAACTTCTTTGTTCCTTTATGTGTTTTAACTTCTTTGTTCCTCACAACAGCCCCTGAGA